TAAAAAAAAATATTATTATGCTTTATTTTCCATAATTTTGCTACATGGGTTTCCGTTCTCATGATCTTCATCAGGCAAGTAGTGGATATTTCCACATATTATTAAAAGAAATTAATTTTTCTAATGTGTTTCGATGTTAGATATTCTCGATATTTGACATTCTCTTTTTTGTGTCAGTGACCCAAATGTCTTTCTTGAACTGGCAGTGAAAGAATTCTGCATGTAGGGTAATAAAACAATTAAGACTTGTCCAAGAAAGGGTGAGGAAAGATATCTATATTCTTATCTTTTAATGAGCCCTGTGTGTTCTTAGATCCATTTCCATTTTTTGTGTTTTTGTCAGCATGCGTACGCATACGTATATTCCTTCATGAAATTTTAAGCTCTACTTCTGTATTGGGCACTGTTTTTTATTAAAATAACTGTACTTTCTTATTATCTCAATATACACACACACATATATATATATATATATATATACATATATATAAATGTGTGTGCCTATTGATGTCAACACCGAGAGGCGACAGTCTGTTTCATGCTTAAATGCAATCTCCAGGCCAGCATTGTTTGTCTTCTTACTCTTTCTCCCCAACCATGTTCCGTATACCATTTACACAAGATCATTATTTACTCACTGCTATCCTCTGTCCCTCTTGCTCTGTCAGGTGAGTTTCAAATTTTCCAGTTATTTTATTCTCATTATGTGTCCCAGAAATTTCACCTGATTCTTTCTGATTTTATGCATAATTGTCTTTTTTATTTCAATTTTCCTTAAAACTTCTCTGTTGCTTACATGCTCTGTTTACAACATCCTCAGTATCATTCTGTAGAAACATATGTCAAGTCATATACCTCATGTTTTCTCTTAATCTGTGAGGAGACTGTCCATAATTCATTGCCATTTTGTACTTCATATTAATGTATAAAACAATAAAAGAATAATTTATTCCGGGATATTAGGTTAATTAAATATATGCTTCTATAGCCTATATCCTTTGGATTTCTGTCTATATTTCTGAGATGAGGTATTGTAATCATTTACACTGTTTATGTTGTTCAGACTGCTGTCCTCATCTTTGTTGTCCTATTCATGACGTTTCAGTTGTTGTATACTCTGGCCTTTTTCAGGTGATTGAAATTTCAAACTGAATCCTTTATTTCATCTACCTGGGTACATTGTTCTAGTTCCATGTGCCATGTCTCACTTATTTTTCTTTAACTCGACTCTCCAAGTTTTTATTCACAATACCTGGCTAATGCAGAGTTAAACAAAAACTTGGAGAGATGAGTTAAAGGGAGATAACTGAGACATCCAGAAGAGGCATGTCACGTTGAACTAGAACACTCTACCATGGTGGACAAAATAAAAGGTTCAATTCAAAATTTCAGTCACCTGAAAAATTCCAGAGTGTACAACAGCTGAAATGTCATGAATATGGCAACAAAAATGATGACAACAGTCCGAACAATGTAAATAGTGTAAATAATAGTTTTGATTTATTTTAAATGAGCATTTATATTCAACTTTGTTTCATTTCATAATAAAATCTAACAATAATTTATTATCAGTATTTTTAATAGAGATAGATATTAAAAGCTTAGAGTCAGACAATATATTGCTTGTGTAAATATAATTAGATCTTGGAAATATTACCAACATCAATGGGTTAAAACCGATTTTATTTTGAAAACATCGACTTGCATAATAAAATCTGATATAGTGTGTGTCTCAATGTGTAAACTCCAAATTTATTTTGTTGATTTGTAGTTTTGTACTTTTTCTTATCAGACATGGTGTTAATTCTAGAATAATTTTTTTCACTATTTGATAACAATGTTTAAATGCTTTTAATATTATTGACAAAGATATTAAATTTGTAAGTTGTCAAATACAGACAATGAAATATTTCTACTTTGAAACGAACAAAGACAACAGATCAAAGAAAGAAAAAAATGGAAAATGATTGATTTCCATCACTTTCTGTCTCAAAAAAAGAGACTAAAACAAAAACAATGAGAAAGAAAGAAAGAGAAAAACAATAAGAAAGAGAGAAAGTAAAAGATGAATAGAGAGAAAAAGGGAATACAGAAAGAGGACAATAAACATTAATGATAGTGATTTAGAGAAAAATAGAAATACAATCTAGAATGAATCAAAGATGGTGAGAGTACCAAAATGAGAGAGGAGAGAAAAGTATAAGAAAGGAATTTAGAAAAAGCAGGAAGTATGAAGGGGTGGGTGAGAGAGAGAGAGAGTGTAAGAAAAGAGTGAAAATTGAAATAAAAAAGAGAAAAATGAGAATAGAAACAAAAGAAAGAATATAAGACAGGGAGAAATGAAGTGAAGGAAAAAAAAGAAAGGTACCATTAACAATAGAGAAAATTTTCTTTTATGCAGTGTATCCTTTCAGGGCATAGGTGATCATGGCTCTCTGCAACTTCCTTTCCCATGTAGTTCAAAGCAATGTTTGACTATTTACTATCCCTATTTGGTTTTGTTCTGCCATCCATTCACACATACTCATCATCTAGATTCTTTGCTATTTATTTCTGTCTCTCCTTCCTTCACTATGTACTGTCAGTGTTAAATTTTACAAGCCCACTTTCCTCATAACATCCTTGAAATTTCAGTTGTCTCTTTCTGGTTTTAAGTATCAATTATGTGCCATGTGTGATTCATGTTTAGGCTATCCTGTATCTTTTGATACAGGACTGATGAGGCAGCTTTTTTCCTGCAGTAGGTTGCCATTTCTTTCTGCGTTAGACCAGTTGCCATCCAAAGCTATAGAACCCAGTCTGCCCTGCTATTTGCTCATAGCTGGGTGGAGAAGAAGAAGATTCATAACTTTCCCAAGGGTATCAGCACATAAGTGAATGTAATGGATTCAACTGGAATTTGAACTCAGCTCTCTGATTCCTCAATCCGTGCCACTATCCATTACTCTACCGTTAACTATAAGCATCATTTTAATTTGCATTTTCTTTAAAACTTCCTTCTTGATCACATATTCAGTTCATGGTATTCTTCTAAAACCACATTTGTCATTTCATTTGTAAGTGATATCGGAGGACAGTATGATATAGCACTCATTCAGCATGTATTCAGTTATGATAGAGACAATAACAAGGGAAATTAGTGAGTGTAATTAGAATACAGAGATGAGTACAAGGAGAGTGGAGAAGGAAAAAAAGAGAGAGATACATGAGCCAAAAAGAGGAGAGGTTAGAAAGAGAGGACCATAACAAGAGAGAAAATGTGCAAGAAACAGATGAGAGAGATTAGAATACATAAATGAATACAGAAAGATTAAAGAAAAGAAAGAGGGAGAGATTAGAGAGAGAAAGTGGACTATGAGAATAAAAAAAGTAGCAAGAGAGAAATGACAAAGAGAAAGACATACAGAATAGACGTAAGAGAGAGATAGAGAGAAAAGACCAAAGTGAGAAATAAAATGTGTAAGAGAGCTATGAAAGAAACTGATAGGCAAATAGATATATAGAAGGAAGATAAGAGATAGAGAATAGAAAAATTTGAGAAAGAAAATAAGAGAGTGAAAGGAAGCAGACCAAAGCAAGAAAGAGAAAAACAAATCAAAATGGGAATGAAAAAGACAGAGACTGAGGGACAAGGAAGATATGACAAAAAAAGAGAGTGTAGATTAAAGCAAGAAGAAAGAAATAATGGAGAGAAAGAAAATGAGCAAGAGAGTAAAGAAAAGATAGGAAAGCTGATGAGAGAGAGGGAGAGAGAGAGAGAGAGAAAATATTGTTCAGTGTGACCAGATTTGGACAGAGGTTAAAGAAATAAAAAAAAAAAATAAAACAAAAGTAATAATGATAATTATGATAGATTCCCTGGTTGCTGTCTGTTTGCTTTAGCATTCATGCCACATATTCCTCTCCATGTCCTGGTTGTCCAATAGAAAGGCCATATGGTAAATGTTAAAGCCCAAGAAAGGTGACTGGCCAACAATTGAATGCTTCCCACCCTGCAGATATTACCATTTGGCAGTCATTCTGATAATCCCTTGTGGAAACAGGTGAATCCTGATCTGAATATTTCCAAACAGATCCAGGAAGTAAACAGTCATATATGGTCATTGGAGTTGGATAGGATGCAGAATGGGTTTAACTATTAATAATAAGAATTATCTTCCTCCACAGCAATTCATAAAGGACTAGAACTGCTACTTTGTGTGCCCTGAGCTGAATAGATAACAGTGGAAGAGTGGGTTACCCAAGCATTGATTCTTTTTATCTCTCTCTCTCTCTCTGTCTTCTATAATAATGACATGCACGTGACAAAACTAAAGTGAAGATGACTGGTGATGGGACAAAATAAATACAGTCATGCTTTTCCCAAAGATGTTTCATACAAACACTCATGACCATGATTTGAATTCAGGATACTATTTAAATTAAATGGTCAGCTCATAAAAAAGCAGGGAAGAATTTTGGAGTAGAATAATTTTCGTAGACTGGAATTAATTAGACTTTCCGCTATCCACATTTGTTGGAATCAAAAAATATTGATTTTTATCATTTTAGAAGTGAGGCCCTTTTCATAATATAAATACAGAGTCAAATTGATCTCTGATTTTTATAAAGTTATCTGCACTTTGTTTTTATCTGCAAATGTTAATTTTGAAACTGTGATTCTGTCATTGATAATTATGTACTACTGATCTTATCGTTTTTCCCAATTTATAGTAGTATGTACTTATCAATGACATAAGCACAGTTTCAAAATTGACATTTGCAAATAAAAACAAAGTACAGATACTGTAAGAAGTCAGGGATCAATTTAAGATTGTACTTATATCATGAACAGGACACCCCACTTCTAAAATGGTAAAAAACAATATTTTTTGATTCTGACAAATGTAAAGAAAAAAAAAAAGTCTACCGGTTTCTTACAAACAGACCAGTTAATTTAAGTAGTGCCAAATTCGGTTTTATGATTTTGTGTGAGCAACAAGGACGTTTTGGAGTGGATGCAAACAAGGAGGAAGAGGCAGCTGAAATTTCTGGGACACGTAATGAGAAAGGAGGGCTTGGAGAATCTGATACTTACAGGGGAAAGAGAGACAAGGGAAAGCAATGCATGGCATACCTAGCGGGTTTAAGCAAGTGGATAACAGAACAATGTCTGGGAGAAGTAGCAAAGAGACAAAACTTATTGAGAGCTACAAGGAATAGTGGGAAATGGAGAGCTATGATTGCCTAAATCCTGAAGGGACATGGCACATAAAAGAAGAAAGAAGATACCAAGTGACTAATAAATTATACCAATTCATATTTACTTCTGTTTGTAAAGAATACTAAATTTGAAGGTATACAAGTTGCATGGGCATATTAGATGCACTCTGATTTCAGCAGTGCATTTCTGGAAAAATTTTAAATATATAATAATATCTAAAGCAATGTTTACCAGTTTAGTATTTTACTATTACCAGTATTTCCTCACAGTTACATCTCTTTCTTTTGTTGTTTCCACTTGGTTGATGATATATTGGAGTATATTTAGGTATGATGGATCAGCTGACAGGTAATTTCTTCTACACTACCACTAGTAATAATAATGCATACAATCAGAAAGACTCTATCCATGTAATTTGCTCAATAACTTTCAAAGAAAAAAAAAAACTTCCTTTACCTCAGGTCTCAGGTAAAAGGAAAACTGGAAAAACTCAAAAAAATAATGATAATGATATTTGAACTGAACATTTTAATTAATCTATGAGGGTAGATTGTGCTCCTCAGTTATTTCTCACTCTGTTCCACTGTGTCTGTAGTACCCAGCCCAGTGATTGAACTCTCAATTACTATGCCAACAAATTCATAAAGCTATGCTTACTCCACTCAGCTCTTGTCTTGGTAGACTGTTTTGAACTTGGGGCCTTAAATGTTATGCTCTTGTTGTTATGCTTGACCTCCTTTGTTGCCACTTCTTTTTCTTATTGCTTGTAGCTGCTGAAGCCTTGTTGGTTCTCTTTTTTATTAATGGTCCACAAATAATACCGTATATACTTGCATATCATGCAACTTTGGAAGGCCTAAATTTGAAGCTAATTTTTCAGGAGCTCACCTGATACACAACATATAAAATTAGCCTATGTTCTGCTGGCTCTGGCTATGCCATTGATAAGCTATATATCCAGTTACTGTAGTCAAAAAGCACAACTGTATTTAAATGAACATGAAATCTGATGTTTTACTAAACTGTATCCAATAATAATGAATATAATATTCACATATAAGTATCATATCATAAAATGAAAACAGTGAATACGCATTATTTCCATTGTTTACATTTATAAGATATTTAGCTGTTTCTTATTTGGGTGTTTATGATTATATATGTTTATGCAATGAGTATAGTGTTACTAACAATACTTTTATCATTCTCTTTTACTTTTTTAACTTATTTAACTAGAAGATGGGATAAAGAGATAGAGGAAAAGAGGTTAGTCCATTGTAATTTGGTCTCTCAAATAAGGACACATGATAAAATCATTTTTGATAAGTGAAAATTTGGGGGCTTGCAAGATACATATATATGGTATTTATTTTTATGTTAAGCCTACTGAAGAGACCATCATAACCTTCCATATGTACTCGCTCCATCAGTTATCTGATTTTTGTGTGTTTTTCTCTGCTTAGTATTACTTCATTCCATGAGAGTCAGCGATAATAATAACAAAAATGAGGACATTCGTTCGATTGTAAATAATAATGATAACTCCTCATCCCAAAAATTTTGACAGAATGTCATTTGAGTAAATAATATTATTGAATAAGACAAGGTAGGAGCAAGTGAGTTAAAATTATGTGTGAGCATTGGGAATAAAATTAGCCTATAGGCTGCCTAAATTTTGCATTCCTGGCACAGGGATCCATCCCTGTGCTGGTCATATCATGGCTACAACTAGCCAGGGCTGGCTCTGACCAGCTTGGACCAGCTATGACAAGCCAAGACCAGCTCTGACAAGCTATGACCAGCTAAAACCAGCTTGGACCAGCAGCCCAGGTGAAAACACTTGGGTCCCCATGTTAAAAACTGACCTTGTGTCACAACCTGACTCAGTGGTGGGGGTCAAGTAAATATCCACTTTGAATATAAGATGTAGAGTGATTTCTTTACCCTTTATGTTTTAAATAAAGTGCGTCGTATATGCAAAATTATATATTCCACTAAGATTGGTTATCACTGTTCAATCTGAAAATTTCAAATGCTGATTTTTCAGGCAGGCAAACTCTTTATGCTTGGAAGAATGATGTGAAACAATCTTCCACCTTTCCTTTGGCCTAAAGTTAGATCTGTAGGTTCAGGATGTTTATACTAAGTGCTATATAAAGAGAAGACCTGGGAACTTTGCTACATTTGTTGGTTATCACCATTGTTGGTTTACAATATTTTTTCTTATAAAAGATTTAGTTCCTTAATCCACTATACCCTGAAAATTATTCACTGTTCAATACCATTTTTTTAAAGCAACTAAATGCAAGGAAGACAACTGGAGATATAGAGGATATCTATTAAGTCATTATGCTGTTTTGACTTTCACTTCTTTCTTTTATGTGCTATGTCTTTTCAAAATGTAAGTGATCATGGCTCTTCATTTCCCCCTATCCTTGGTAGCTCTCAATAAGTTTTGTCCCTTTGCCACCTCCCCCAGACCACATTCTGTCATCCACTTGCTTAAGCTTGCCAGCTATGTAATGCATTGCTTTCTCTTGTTTCTCTTTTCCTCTATTCGCCCTGTGAGCATCAGATTTTCCAGGCCCTCCTTTCTCATTACATGTCCCAGAAACTTCAACTGCCTCTTCCTGATGTTAAGTATAAGCCACCTCCTTGTTTCTTCTCCAAGACCTCATCGTTGCTCACACACTCAGTCCATGATATCCTCAGCATCCTTCTGTAGAACCATGTCTTTATCGCCTTGAGTCTCTTCTTCATCTTTGAGGAGACAGTCCAACATTCGCTGCCCTAGAGGAGGACAGATGTCATGTACTTTCACTAGCTTCTCTTTTATATAAGCTATAAATATCAGACAAATGAAAACAAATTTATTCAAAATTTAAGCAAATTAATGATGATAAAAAGTATAACATGTCATGTTTTATGACTCAAGAACAAGTGCAGAATGTTTTCAGTGAACATAAAAATGTATTAGTCTTTGTATGTTAATTTTCAATATTTTCACTATCCTTTTGATAGTGAAGATATTGAAAATTAACATTCCTATCACTAAATAGGCGGTGTCTTGAATAAATCTGCTTTCATTTGCATTTTGTGTGAGAAATAGGAGAGAAGTTATTAAAAAATTGTATGTCTCAAAAGTACTTTCTAGAAATACTGTATTTATTGTTTCAAGACCATATTCAATGAAAGTTGTATGAGAAAGAAAGAAAGAGATGTGAAGTGAGACAATTTGAAGATATTTTGTAAAAGATGGATAAAAGAACAATACTAAGTTAGAAAGCATAAATGCCATCTATAGAACAATGTAGTGACTATGTCTGTTCCAAAATTAAGCTCATAAATAGGCATTCAGACCAGACCAAATCCATCATGTTCCACACTTATTCTTGTCATTCTTTTTGTATATTAATATGTTAATAAAATCTATTCAGTATCATAGCAAGACATAGTTTGTTCAAAAATAACCCTTGAGCTGAATACACATCTTTGAAATCTGATTCCAAGTGAAGTTAGTCAACTTTTTGTAATTCTATGTCTCTTCAGGTGTAGATGATCAATGGTCTCCACAGATTCCTTTTCTTTATTATCTGTGAATTTCTTTGCTTTCTTTGGAAAAATAGTTGAGTAGTTTCCTGTTGTCTTCTCCTCTGTTTAGAATAACAAAGTTTTCATTCTCTTTGACTGATTTCAAGCCAAGACTAGAGAACCCAGTCTAATCTGCTGTTTAATTATTTAATTATTTAATCCATAGCCGAAGAAGAAGAGATGGATTCCTGCCTTTCCTGAGAATATTAGTATAAAAGTGAATGCAATATACTCAGCCAGGTCTTGAACTGGGTTCATTGAAATAAGATCCCCAATATCTCATACAAAGATACCAGAGACTCACTGGTTTAATATTGGAGATTTTATCTGGAATTGGTTACATTCATGACAGTGAGATAATTTAGGAAAAATAAAATTTTGATTTCAAGTCACTTTTCCCAAATAGTTTATTTTTAAAATCTGCACTTTAGAGTCCTTTATGTCATTACCTTTTTAATAGCATATAAAGAAAACTCAGAAGTTTGGAAAATTTTTTTAAATATTTTAAAGGGAAGCAGTGTATCAGGTTCTTTTAGTGGAATGTTTGAATGAGGTAAGGCTTCTTTTAGTGGAATGAGGTAAGGCTTCTAAAAAAAAAAAGGAAACAAAAAAAATACATGTAATCTAAGTTTACCACTGCTTTTCCATTGTTATCCAGAATTTTGTTGATTCATGTTGGAATAAAATGGATAGAAATATACTGAAAAGTAGAGAGATTGAATGTGAAGAAAGACTGAAAGAAAGTGTATGTGGGTAAGATAGAAAGAAACAGCAAGAAGACGTATTCAAAAAAAACACAAGTTAAGAGAGAGTGAAAGAGACAGTGTAAAGAGAAAGTATAAGAAAGAGATAAAGAGTTCAAGCTAAGAGAAAGAGAATTTTCAATGAAGTAAGCATAAAAAAGGGTTAGAAAGGAGATAAGAAAAGAGAGGGTGAAACAAACAGAAGGAGAGAAAGGGGAATTAGGTGGGAGATAGAAAAAAAAAACAATATCATAATTTTCTTAAATTTCAAAATCTTAAATTAGATACAAGTGTTGCTGCTGCTAATGATAATGTTGGTCAGGCTTGGATGAGCCTTTCTCGCTCCTGACTTGAAGTGAGGGGTCAGTTTGAGGTTTGGCATCTTCCACTCTGGCCTGCATACAAACTTCTGACAAGAGCTTTTCTTTCCATAATCACCATCTCTGATTGTTACAGCCACCATTGAAAACTTTGGCAGCTAAGCCTGGACAGTTTCAAAACCAATTTATCACCAACTGTCGTTACTTTTATCACTCTAATAAGTTTTCTAAATTAGTTTTGAATAAAGAAGTTCAGTGTTCATCAAAGTTACTAATTCTCCATTTCCTTCTCAATCTTGGGCCAAAAATTTTCTTTCGTTCTTTCTCAATGGCCCATACCCACCTTAGCATATTATTTGGGCCCATGTGCATTGTATGGCGAAGTGTCCTCTTATTGAACAAGAGATTTGGGTTGCATTTCTGAATTTGTTAAATGAATGCCAAACTCCCCTTAAACCTCATTCAGTATAGGCCAAGATTTATATAAAGAATCTCAACGTTTGTTCAGAATCAGACATTACTATTCAGTAAGTGTTCTAGATCTCACTATCATTTTTTTAAAATGAGAAATCAACATTCTAATAAAATAATATTGTCTTTCAAAATCATAAAATACACTTTATCCAATAAAAACATTTGGTTACAGTAAGATCTATGTAATTAAAACAACAAAGAACTACCAAATAATAGAAACCACTCTTGAGGACTATCAACATCAGCAACAACTAAAATGGATAGTACATTTAACTTGAAGAGAAAATAATGACATAAAAAAAAATTAACTGTACAGAAGAAAATGTCTTTTCGACACTATTCAATAATTAAATGCATGAAGTTTCTTATGCGAACATTTTATAGCACATGGAATAATGGTGGTGTAAAGATGACATGCACAAAATAATTGACTAATTGATTTTCAATGCAAAGATAACATCTATTAAAACAAAATTAACAAAAGTAAAGCTTAAAACAAGACATAACGAAATGTTCATTAATATGTTATAATGGGAACTTTGTTGGTGTGTTTTATGTGAAGCATTCACAGCCTTGTAGCTTCAGCTTGGAAGGTTCATGTCAGTAGTTCGCAAGAGGGAAAACTCAGAAAGGGGAAGTCACTTTAGGGTTCATGTGTTTTTATATTTCGAGAACTGCTGTTTTTATTTACCGCTGCTAATGCTACTATTTTTAATGTCACTACAGTACCCACTTTCAAGTGAGATAGTTGTACAATAATATCAAAAAAGAGAATTTATATGTTAGGTAAAGACACAGTTTCTTTGGCCATCTAATATGATGACTACCATTTGAAGTTCTAGGTTGTGTCTGCTTGGTGATTTCTAATGAATCATCACCAATATTTTCTAAATGTGTCAGTTTTAGTTGCTGAATAGAAATATTCTTTTGTCTATTATTAATTACAACAGTGAAATGTTTCTCTGTACATTTTACTACCTTGTAAGGACCTCTGTAAGCTGGTTGTAGGGGATGTTTGGTTGCATTGTCTTTTACTAGCACAAAGTTGCAGTTTTTGAATGATTCTGGCACATATGTTACATGGGTTGATTGTCTAGGAGACGGGGATATTACTTGAGACAAGCTTATCTGCAAATGAAGCAGGATCCAAGAGTGGTTCATTTGGTTTGATTGATTAACTCTCCTGGGAGACATAAAGGTGTGCCATATACAAATTCAGCTGCAGAACTCTGTGAATCAGATTTTACAGCTGTTCTTAGTCCTAAAAGTATTAATGTAATATTCTGAAACCAAGAAGTATAGTTCAGTGCTGTTTTCAGGGATTCCTTCAGAGAACGATGAAAACATTTTATCTTGACATTAGCTACAGAATGGTAAGCAATTGTATGAATTCTGGTTGTACCAAACAGGTTGGTTAGGGAAGTGAAAAGTAAGAATTCAAATTGTGTTCCTCTATCAGTGGTGATGGTCGTGGAAACACCAAATCTGCCGACACAACCAGTAATAAAACCCTGTGCAACTGATTTCGCACTGATATAAGTAAGGGGAATGATTTCAGGCCAGCGGGTGAATCTATCAATGTAGATGTGGAAATAGTAATATTCATGACAGGGAGAGAATTGTCCGATGATGTCAAGATGGATATGGTCAAACTGAGTATCAGAAATGGGAAAAAATGTAGTAGCTGATTTAGTGTCTCACGATTTTGACTTTTGACATGGTACACAATGATGTGTCTAATCCCTTGTTGATTCCAGACCAGATATAATTTTTACTAATTAACTTGCTGGTTACTTTTACCTGGGCAAGATATTTAGCGTAGAGTGTCAAATAATTTTCTATGGAGAGTTTTTGGAATAAAAGGCCATAAATTCCCTGTAGAAATGTTGCACATCAAAAAGAATATTTCCTTCATTTGTAATAAAGAATTATTGTTCTCCAGAAGAGATTTTAGATATTTGTCATCTTTTTGTGAAGTTGCAATAGCTTTGAAAATCGATGAATGGAGTTATACTAATTGTAGAAATATTCCTGGAGTGTGTGTCTACCAGAATGTTTGCAGAGACTTTGATATATTGAATATCAGTTGTAATTTGGCTGATGAAATCAAGTTGCCCAAGATCCTAGGGAGAATAGTTATTTGATTTTGCCTTGAGTGTTCCAATTAAAGGTTTATGGTCTGTAAGTATGTGAAAAGATCTATCTTCTCAGAAATGTCAGAAGTTTCAGATGGCACAGTACACTGCCATTAACTCTCATCTGAAAGTACTGTACTGAGTAGCCGTTTCTGATGATTTCTTTGAGAGGTAAGATACAGGTAACCATTCATCTGATTCACATTCTTGCATTGCTCCAACGGCAAAGCTCAAGACATCTACTGCCAAGAATAACTCTGCTTTATGATTAGGAAAAGGGAGGTTACTAACATTGGTTAACTTTTCCTTTGCCAAATTAAATGCTGTCAACACTTTTTCAGAAAGATTTATATCATAGTTATTTTTCTTTTGTTCTTGAAGAACATCTGTCAATGGAGAAATTATTTCTGCCAACTTGGGGATAAATTTTCTATAAAAATTCACAATGCCAAGGAATTGGCCTAGATTTTTTGAAGTTTTAGGAAGCAGAAAATGGCAAATAGCTTTGGTTCTTTCAGGTAATGGTTTGATAACATTTTTTTCAATCCTATGACCTAAAAAGTCAACTTCAAACAATCCAAATTTACATTGAATTGGATTCATTATAACACCATATTTTTGAAATCTTTCAAAAACATCTTTATGCTGTTTATGTTCTTCTGGTGAAGGGCTGGCAATAAGCACGTCATCTAGTGTTTGAAGAACTTGGTTCATAAATCTATGAAAGGATTGGGCTGCAAAATGTAGTCCAAATGGTAAACGTAAAATTTAATAAATCCCAAATGGCGTTGTAATGGCTGTCTTCTTTATGTCAGTCCTCTACAGGTATCTTATGGTAGGCTTGGATGAGATCAAGTTTTGAGAAGATTTTAGTTCCATGTAGTTGGCTGGTTAAATCTTGAATATTAGCAATTGGGTACCTATTAGAAAGAGTAATCATCTTCAGTTTGCAGTAATCGCCACAAGGTTTCCATAAAGATGACTTCTGTTTTGGTACCATGTGTAGAGGTGAAGACCACTTGATTTTTTGAAGGGCGAATTATTCCGGGTTTGCTAAATGCTGGAATTAGTGTTTGAGAATTTGAGTTTACTGAGGGGAAGTCGACAAACTCGTGAGAAGACAGGTGGACCAGTTGTTTCAATACAGTGTGTGATGTCATGTTTTCACAGGGTGTTGAATTTTGGTTCTGTTATATCTTAAACAATTGACCCTGTTTTTTACGATTCAGAATTTTTTTCTGCTGAGTCAGCTTTCGGGAACTAAGATATGCTGTTTAAATATGGCCTGAATGTTCTGACAAATCACCTATTTGCAGTTTTCAAAATCCTTACTTTTTATGAAGTTGAACTCACCCATAATGAAACTAGTTTGCTTAAGTGTTCCATAAATTTATTCGGCAATCTTGAGTTTATTCATGGGCAATCTCCCCTTTTCCAAGGATGTTACCATTTGGGACCAGTTGTTTAAATATGTTTGTAAAAAAGACTATCATCCGTCATATTTCCCAACAGACTTAAATTTTGTTTTAGTTATATTTTGATACTTGGACAGTATTTCAAAAAAATTCATTGCTTTTTTTTGTTGATACAACTTTGGGACTGAAGAAGTGTTGCAGACTTTTAATTTGTCAATAGATTTGATTTCAGTCTTTGTGTCAATCAAACACGTTGTTGTTTTTTATATCAATTAACAGACCCTAATTTTTTTGTGTGTCCACATTTTCATAAGTGATGTCAGCCATGATAAAAAACTAGTTTAAATCATGATAGAAAATATAGCTAGATTTTTTGTCATGCATTTTTGTGTCCATATTTTGAATTTTCAATCCATTTACCATTCATAAGGTATGTTCTCCCAGGGCGTTTAATTTATCTGACTGGGAAGTTAAAGCACGTAAACAATATTGACCAGGAATATTGTTTTTTGATATTTCTGATTATTTTAGAAAAAATCAACTGAGAATGAAATGCCAAATGTCCTGCAATAATGAAGATTGTTGGTTTATTCAATTCCTGTAATTGCAAGGAGTTGGAAAAAATAATTTTTCCTCCTTAATATTTATTTATTAGTAACAGAATAATTTTATTTACCTCTTGCTTCTGTATTGTTTTCTTAAAATTAAATAATTTTTAGGCTGCTTTTATTTTGAATAGTGGAGTATTTTTGCTTCAACAGGAAAAAGGGTGAAAATTATGTACTGTCAATGGCAATGGGATGAGGTCAACTTTTCGGTCAAAGAAAGCGTTTTTCCCCAAATTTTATTTAATATATATATATATATATATATAATATATATTTATTTTAAATGTTATTATGGGTCACTGTTAAAGTTTATGAAATATTTTATCATAAAATATTATTAATTCAAAGTCCAGTTTCATTTTTTGTTTTTTCAGAAAAAATTAAAAAAAAAATCCCGTATGAAAAAGATTTAAAAAATGAAATACAAAACAGAAAATATCTGTAATTAGTGTAAGTAATACTTACAGAATATAGCACAATTTTATTTATTTTAAAGAAAAATCTGTTTAAA